TTGGAAATATATTACTGGTAATTTTAATAGATGTGATAATGGCATTGTGATTGTGCTAAAAAAGCCCTTCTGTGTTAGATTAAGTTAATGACATTATTTATGAGTGAAATAACATGATGACTGGGATTTGTTTTAAAGTATACCCCCCAAAAATTAAAGTCAAAAACGAAAGTAGATGAGAGTATAGATAAGTCTGGAAAATGGTAACGATTGTGAAAGCTCTCCGAGTGGCATGCTGGGGTGCAGAGCTGACTGTCAAAGACATTGCCAACAGGTTTCTAAACGACTGGTAGCTTAAAACTGGTCATGATGGAGATATTTACACAACAGAAATGAGCAAATGCTACAAATGTGGGCTTTTTAAGCAGCATATCATTGAGACTGGATAATAGGTACATGGGTTTATTATATTATTATGCTAACTTTTGTGTAAGTTTGAAAACTTTAATAACAGTTAAATTTTAAGTCCAATTTATTTTCCAGACTTTTTTTTTTTAAAGCAACAACTATTATTACATTTTGCAGACCTTTAAGACCTGAAATTTGGACCCACTTTAATTAGCACGTAATTTCCCACCATGCTTTCCTCTGAGGCTGGGCAATGAAATCACTCCAAACCTCTGGTTATACCCCGGCGTCACCACCCTTGTCTTAGCCTTCATCCACGCTTCCCCTGCTCTGGAATAAGTCCACTGCCTCACTTTCTTCTCACCCATCCTGCCCCAAGTACAATAGCACCTCTGCCTGGAAGGCTTCCCTGCTTGTTCTAAGACATAATATTTCTACTACATCTGAATTTTTAATTAACTTACTCTGCACTTCTCTAATGGAAGAAAATAACACCTTACTGCACATTCCAGCCATGCTAGGCTGGTTTCGCTTGCATTGTCTCATTCAATGCTCATACTCTCTGTGAAATAAGCTATACAACAACTCCTTTGCTTAATAAGGTAAATCAAGATCAAAGACATTAGGTAACTTCGCCAGGGTCGCAAAAGTAATATTGGTGGCAGAACATTCCAGAACAGTCAACATCTGGGGAAGGGTCTGTGCCTAGCTGGGAAGCCCACAGAAAGGTCTTCCATGAATGCCTGTTGAATGAAATGGCAAGTGAGTCACGGAAAGTTCTGTTTTCTCCACACTAAAACATGTTTTCCTGTGTGTTCTGGTTTACTCTCTTCTCACCTTCCACCACAACGTCCCTTGACCATAGTAGCAATTGACATTTTAGAAACCCATTATAATAGCCACTCTTCATAGGCGGCCATTACACTTGCCCCACACTTGAAATAATACTTCATTTTTCCTTAAAAAAAGTATCCCACTCTCTGAGACAAAAGAGAGTTTATGTCGCTGGTGAAGACCAAATCCTTTAGTCTGTGCTTTCCTCTGTGGGGGATGTTCTTTGTCACCTCACTGTTCCGACACTGTGGCTGGGCATGCAGGACCTGCAACTGAATTTGGTCCCCATGCTATGGCTGTTTCCTTATCACATCCCCCGCCTTGTAAGCCTATGCACAAGAACATGGGCATTGCCCATGGGGACTTTACTGCAAATTCCTGCGCATTCCTGTAGGAACCGAGAAATAAAAGTTAAAAAATACCAAGAAGCCTTGGATGCTCTTTATATCCTGGATGAAGGCACTGGATGCCAGCCTTTGCCTTGGATTGCCCCTGGAGATCTCAGTCTGCAAAACAAATGGGATGTCTAGCAAGAGGAGAGTAGTAAATGAATGATGGTACTAACAACCATTGCAAGCCTGGCTAGCTGCTAGATTTGGTAGCCTTGTGGAAAGCATGCAAACAGACAAAAAATAAGGTAACAAACAACCATATAAAATACGATCATTAAAAAAATTAATCGATGTGTGTGTCTATGTAGAACGAAGAGCAGAAGAGTACACCCCAAAACGTCATTGCCTATGTTTCTGAGGTAAACTAATAGAGTATTTTGTTCTTATGGTTTTCTGTATATTCCAAATTTCTACAATGAATACTTACAACCTTTATATTAGAGGAAAAAAGGAGTAAAAGAAAAACGCAGAGGAAAGCATATAGTTATTGGACTTTTACTAAAGAGAATTAGATGTCAGCTTTTATTCCTCTTGGGAATGGAGAAGACTGACCCGACCAAAGGAAGCGAGAGTTCTCATTTCCAATAACCCAAAGACTTAGAAAGGAGGATACCCAAGTGTGTCTGCTGATTCAAAAGGCAAGAAGAACAGGATGCTAGAAAGTAAAAGGAGACATGTTTGGAGGTAGAAGAGTCAGGGTGGGTTAGGTGTGAATTTCAGAAGCTTTTCCATCTGTGCCTTTAAAACTAGCTGAGAATAGTACCCACCTACCACCAGCACCAGGCCTGACTCTAGGAGAAGCTCTCTACCCTGTGGCCCAGAAGCCAGGCTCACCAGCCTCTGGGGAGACCACACCCCCACCCCAAAGTACAATACCTTAGAAAACATGAGCTTTCAGGCTCATCCTAAAAAGTCATGTGTTTACTTCCAGGAATGAGCATGGCATTTTTAGTAACCAATAACCATGAGGAGAAAGGCAGATACTCACTTCCTTACCTTCCTCTTCTCTATCTGGATGTAGAGAAAAGACAGAGACAAACGAACAGAAAATCCAGCTCAGCACAGTCACTATGCTACACATTTTCAAAATCATCGAAGATTCCGTAACTATCTTTCTTAAGGGTCTGAAGCAGGAAAACAAACAAACAGAAAACCTCTACATTCAAGTGATGAGTGTGTACCATGCAGAAGCTGAGAGGACAGATACATTATCCCTGGGAGGGGTCCTCAGTGAGTCCGAGTCCCCTCCTGACAATCAGTGAGGGATCCTGAAAGCGAACACACCCATGAATTATTGAATGGGACTCAGTTTCATCTGAAACCCAGAGAGAGGGGGAAGAATAACAACAGAAGCCAGCAGTTTGGTGCAGCAGGGCTGGAGAGGGCAGTGCAAAGCCTGTGGACAGCTTTCTGTTTCTGTTTTTAAAAGTACCCAAAGGGTGGTGCTGACCTGAGACACATCTGAGTCTTTCACTAGAGAATTAACTTTGATCTGGGCATTACACCCTGGCCACAAGTTTCCCAGGACTTCCTGGCCTCAAGAACAGGCATCCTGAGGAGTGAAAAACATGCATTTATGCTTCTAGCGTCAGGAGGATGGCATGCAAATGGAAAAACATGGAAGGGGTGAACAGAACCAGGGGAGCAAGCCATCTGCACTGGAAGCTGTGGGGTTGGCTGTGGGGTAGCCTGGAAGCTGCCTTTCTAGGACCATGCCCTCAAATGTTATGCACGAACCTCGCATATCTCTAACTTCTCCTTCGCTGGACAGCTCGCTCGATTACTTTAAATCTAATATCTAAAAGTGTAGGTCAACAAACAGGGAAAGAATGTGTTTGGCTCAGAAGAAAACCATGTCAAAACCACACACACGCACACAACTCCAATAAACTCAGTCTCCACCGTGTGTCCTTTCCAAGCGGTAAAACAGCACCACACAATTTCTTCTAATTTTATAAATTTTCAGATTAAACAAAAATCTTTAGCTGGGATTGCCACCGTGTATGAGTGTGGAGGTGAGTGGGGTGGGTGGTGAATGTTGATTTTCTTTTTGTTTGTGTTTCACGTTCCCTTAGCCCAACTGGAAGTTTGTGTAAGTACGTGAGTAAGTAATTAATTAACACTTTTCAATGGTTGACAAAAAAAGGCTTACTGGCAACCTAGGTCTTAAAACTCACTACTTTCCAGACAGGAGGATCAACAAGATGAGATGAAAACACCCCATACTACTGTATGAATCTATCTTTGATTCTTACCAACGGGGCCCTTGATTCTGTTAATTCTCTTCCTTTAGCTCCCACCCCCACCCCCCACCCCCACCGTCACCTGTTCCTAGCTCTGTGTGACCTGGGGCCACTCTGCATCAGGACTGGGTCCTCAGATTCCTCAGCAGTGACTGTCACTCACATGGGAGAAGCATAGGGAGGATGCAGTGAGCTCCTGGATATGAAACACCTTTAAAGAAGAAAACATTCCCAAATATTGAAATTCCTGCAATTAAAAAATTATTTGCTCCGCCCCTGGAAGTTCACTGCCATTAGCTATAATGTATTTTCCCAGAAAGGTACAGCACTGTGGGATCTTGAGGCAGGCACTGAGTTGAAGGGTGACAGAAAGTTTCATTTTGAAAAAGGGACAGGGACAGGGGCTGAGTCCCCTAATAATCACCTTTGGATTTATTGTTCTTTATGTACATGTTCTCCCTACACTGGGCTCTATCTATGTGAGAAAACAAGGGCTTTTGTATTTCTGAGATTTCTGTGTATGAGTGTTGGTGTTTACATTTTGTGTGTAGACTCCTTTTCCAGAGACATGGAGGATGACGTCCATCTTCACCCCTGCAAAAAAGGTCTCCAGAAAGCCCTTGCCTACACCCTCAAAGAGTTTGTCCATAGTAAACTCCAAACACCACTCTGGCCAGAGATAACAGTGGCCCATTTCCTGACCAAGATCAGCAAACCTCAACTGTCTGCCTCTGCAGGAGTCTGAGATTAACTTGGCTGTCAGGCCTTGACTGTGAGGCATTTTCTACAAAGATTACAGAAATGTGAGAGTATCCTGTCCAAAAAGAGGGAAATACAGGGAAGAACCCCAACCCCACCCCACCTTCTGCTGCTTTTGGTTTAACCCTTCCTTAAGCTGAGTCCCCAGCACCTAACATTTCAAGCATCTTATCTATATATATTTTTCTACCATAAAATATTAGGAATGAAAGAGCAAAAAGAGATGGTTTTGTCCATGCTGGAATGAGAGGAACTGGAAGAGGGGAGCAAGCTGCCAGGTCATTCTCATGGTTAGCATTTCGAGGGAAAGAAGCTAGAAATCCAAGGTCAAGGTTTCTGTCCTGGCCCCAAGGGTGCTTGTTGACCACCAAACTCTGGAGCATTTCACTCTTCCCACCTTCATAAAAGCATCAGTGGAACTTACCTGTGGCTGAAATCCTTTGAGGTCATTGGCTGCAAGGTCACTGGCTGTGAGGAGCTAGAAAAGAACAGAGGAAAATTCATCAGGAATTTTCAGTTTGCATACAGTATCCCCACGACAACTGACCAGCAATGGCCTTACCATAGCCTGCATGAGAGCTACAGAAGCAGGGTCACAAAAGGCAAATGTGAGATTTCTGGACTGGGAGTCTAGGCTCAATGGCCTTCCCACTTTGGGTCCCATCTCTGACATTATCACCTCTCTCTTGCTGCCATCTCTATGTGCTACCAGTTCTTCAAAGGGTCTTAAATTAGGAATCATGGGCTATGGATGGCCTTCATAAGGTTAATGGCTCTCTGCAATTATAAATCTACAGATGCATATATTTCCTTAGAGAATGGGGCCCTGGCTTTCTCCCTGCTATCAAAGTGCTCTGTGATACAAGAATTACTGCTTCAGCAACAAAGATCCAACTACTCTAAGAGGGCTTATTATTTTTTCTTTAAAAAAAAAAAAAAAAAAGCTCAGTACAAATGGTCCTCTACTCTTCACATCCATGTGTGACTCAGTTTCCCTTTGTCATATGTTGCCTATGATTATATACACTATTTAGGTTTTCATCGTTTATGCTTCAAACATTCATATACAACATAAAAGAATAAGAGTCAGTTATATATAGTTTCCGCATCTCTGTGTTTAATCAATATTAAGACTAAAGTTAAGGTTTTAAATATTTTTGCATCCTTTCCAGGGTTTTGCACAAGAAAACATTAAACAAAAATACATGATTAATTAGTAAAATAGCTGCATCCTTTATTATTGCTTAAAAATGCTAGAAAAGTGTGAGATAAAGAAAAAAAGGGCAGATGCTTATTTTGATTCAAGGAGGGTGACTGCTAGCTTTGTTAGGCCTGAAGAGCATTTGTGAAAAATAGGAAAGACTTCATGTTTGCTGTAACAATATTTTGCTTGGGTCAAGAAAGAGAAGAAGTCATGCTGAGCCCCAGGGCCTCCAGCCTTCAGAAAAGCTCAACTGGATTTTTTAGCTTCCCTAAATGACTGCCAAAAATGGTGCTGAAGTGATGTTGAAGCTAGCATCCAGCAGAAGAGAGGTGGAGAAGGTATAAGTTGCACTGTTTCCCCCACACCCCATACTGCAGGCTAGATCCCCCCATGTGGAAGGCGTCTTGGGGGCAGGTAGCACCACCCTGGTGAAGAGTTGGTTTGACCCCTCTGATTGTAATAAAACAGCCAAGCCACAACCCGCTAGGCCACTTGCCAGGAACTGACAGCCCCTGCCTTCAAGGAACCTATAGTTTGGTGGAAGAATCAGACATGCAGACACATGTACATCAGTGGGAGCAGAGTGCAGTCAAGTGTAAGCATCAAACTGGGGAAATGAAGCAAGGAGCAGTCAGGGTAGGCTTGTTGAAATAAGATGGAGTTTGCATATAGCCTTGAATTCACATGCAAGGGTGTCAGGGCAAGGCACTTCAGGTGGGAGCAGGTGCAAGAGCAAAGATGTGAAGAAAGGAAGTGGCCAATCCTAACACACCTCCACTTGCATCTGTTAAGTACCAGTCACAGTCTACCTTAAGGAGAAAGGGAATTAGGATACATTGAGGATCGCCTGGGTGGCTGGCATACTGGGTGCTGCTTTATGTAATTTCTCATGTTTAATCTTCACAACTCTTTCATGAAACAGAAAGTGTCTCCTCTTTACTGATGGGAAAATTGAGACTTATGGAAGCTAAGTAACATTTTCTAGGTTTCACAGCTAGAATATGTATTTGGGATTTAAATCCCCAACTATATTTTCCCAAAGTTCCTGTTTTTTCTTCTATAATAAAATGCCTCTGAATTATAGCACACTGCAGACCATTTGTTGAGGAGATGTGACACAGGAAAAAAGCTGAGTGACAGAATATTAGTCAAATGAGCCACAGAAAGTAACGTAAAGCATGTGTCCCCGTGAACAACCCTTAACTAACTCTTCCTCTCAGAAATGCTTGTATTTAATTGATAATGACCATTCACTCATCTGAATTTATCAATAAAACTTTACATCTAGCTTGAGCTTGGCACAAGACTGGGAAGGAGCTGGAGAGGAGGGGGACAAAAGGCTGGGATGAGGTATGGGCATGGGAGTGACCTTTGCAAGGACATGACCACCACCATGTGTTAGCATATTGGAATCAGAGCTCAAATCCTTCAGATCCTGGGAGTACAGATGGCAGAGATCTTCCTACTGCCTTTGACAAGGTTTCCCCAGTCGCAAGAGGCACACAACCACAATGTCTAGTTCCTCCTAGTTCTGAGATCCCACAGCTAAATATAAACCAAAAAAGGTGTTCAAAGAATCTTCAAATATGCACTATTTCCTCATGTCAAGGGTTTGGGGATTGAAATATGACCAGATCCATTTGTTTGATTGGAAACAGCAATATGGCATCTCTGCTTATTATTCTTTACGTCTCTAACTCAAAAAAGTTAGAATTTGTCCCACTCTTCCCAGAACACTTAGATCTCCTTTTCTTTCTCTTACGGAAAAGCCAGAGGCATGAGTTCTTAATTTATTAAAGTTTTGTTTTGAGGCCAGGTGCAGTGGCTCATGCCCATAATCCCAGCACTTTGGGAGGCTGAGGCCGGTGGATCACTAGAGGCCAGGAGTTTGAGGCAGGCTTGCCCAACATGGTGAAACCCAGTCTCTACTAAAAAAAAAAAAAAAAAATTAGCCAGGTGTGGTGGTGCACGCCTGTAGTAGCAGCTACTCAGGAGGCTGAGGTGTAGGAATTGCTTCAACCTGTAAGGTGGAAGTTGCAATGAGCCGAGATCATGCCACTATACTCAAGCCTAAGCAACAGAGTAAGACTCTGTCTCAAAAATAAATACATAAAAGTTTTGTCTCACGCTGTTGTATTTTTACTCTTCTATTTTTCACTTAAAAAGAACATGATCAACAAGACTCTAACAAGACTATGGCTTCTATCTTATGGAAATTTTGCATTTCTTAATGTGTTGAGAAGAATATAGACACACAATTAGTCACTAAATAACCTGTTTGTCAAATGACTTAAAAGGAAAGGGGAAATATTGTCAGCCCAGAGGTGAGGACAAGAATGCTTAAAGTGCTGAGCCTAGAGAACAGAAGTGTGAGAGGCAGGCTTACGATATCCTCCAAGCTGACAAAAGGAAACGGCACTCAGCGCCTAGTACATTTCCTGTGTGAAGGAGGCACTCAAATATTTGAATGAATTAATCAACTCAGGCACTGGGGACGAGCTCTTCTCCAGCCACTAAAGGTTTTACTAGAGAATATTGGCTGGGGCTTCAGTGTAGAAATTGGAAGTTAAATTTAAGGAAGAACAGTATTAAAGGGAAAGAAGCTGAATGGTGAATAAATCCATCACCAGGGAGAGACGGCGGTCTCACCAGTTGCTCTGGTTAAAACAGTAAAATGTTAAATGGGCCCATCCCAGTTCAGATGTTTTAGTGTATCTGATGATGTGTGGGGGGATGCAGGGATATAATGTCAGGGATGGAACTCAAATGACTTACAAAACTTCTGGATTCCTTTTCTTGGGAGATTTGGAATATTTAACTCACATTCTAGCATGCATTGAAGGTGCTTCTGACCTGGGAAACAACCAAAGGCAAGGCTTGTGACATCTCCTCACAATGAGTCCTGAAAGAACAGTGTGTATAACAGTGTGTCTTCCTCACCATTAAGCCACGACCCCCTGCCTTTCTGGCTTCTGGGTTTTAACCACGTATTAACCAAATGCATGGGCTGTTGGGCCAAACATAGGCCCTGCACATTGAGCACTCCCCTTTTCAAAGCAGATTATTTCCCATAAGTCTACACATTCCACACCAATGAATGGAGAAACGGTTGAACCTCAGGCGCTAATATATGGTGCTCAGGTGTGGATTCAAAATAAAGAAAAAGATCACAGACCATCTACATCAGGATCCCACAAATAGTTCCATTCTTACAGTGTCAGGGCCTGAAGGAGGCAGCTGGAGGTCCCTGTATGGTAGGAGAAAACCATGGTGCCCCCAGTGGGCTCAGAAGCCACCTCTGCTGGGGAACTGGGGTGAGAAAATGTGTAGACAAAGGGCCGGCACGGTGCCTGTCTCTCTCTACCTTCACTCAGGGGCGCTCTGCTTTTCCCTGTTTCTTGTATGCAACTTGAGTTGAAAACCAGTGTTTTGCTACTAAAGCAGATTTTAAAACTCCAGACTTAAGTTCTTATTTTGTGGAAGAAGCAGCTGATAAGTGACATTTTCAAGATCACATTTCTAGTTAACAACAGGCTTGGTTGAGTCTGCTAGCCCCAAGCACCTCTGCAAAAACCTCCCCTAGAGACCATATCTGTCCAGTATGGCACTGACAACCAGACATAACCGGCTGCTGATTTCTACCCTAAAGCTGGGCTCAAAAATCCAGGGGAAATTGAGGCATGGGCAAGAAGTATACATGTCCCTCCTCAAAGCCACTGCCTTGAAAAACACACGTCCCAGACTTTTGTCTACTGCCTCCCCCGCTTGACCCCTATCTCCATTCCATCCCACTGGGAAATAGTTCACTGCTCATGGTAGCCTTGCTGTGTCGGGATTTGCAGGGATCCAAGACAGGGAGGCAGAGAGGGAGGAAAATGAAATCCCCCACGGCTCTAGGGACTTCAATCAGGCTGAAGTTAATGAAAAGGATCCTGTATTTTCCCAGGATGGCGAAATGTCTGTAATGCTCCCAGCTAGAGGGTTGAGGGTGCAGGGTGGAGAGGGCAGACGGAATTACATTTAAAAGGCAAAGGAAGGAGAAAATTCTTTCATCTCCCTGGTGGAGCCCGGCAGTATTCCTGGGGTCCTGCTCACACCAGTCTCATTCCTGACACGTCTTGCTGCTAACTCACAATCTAGCATGCACTGAAGGTGGACACAGTCCACATTCAAAATATTAGGAGGATGACTCTGCCTTCCATTTTTGAGGAGCTGCAGTTTCTCTTTTGGCATAAATTCAGGTTGCTTTCTTATTTTTTTTCTCTTTCTCTGAG